ATATATATATATATATTTCTCAACTTTCACAACAGCAATTCATTGAAGGGATGCCAAATCCAGAGTATTGTGGTGGGTATACATTTCTCAATGCGCTTCGCCTCGAAGGCTTCTTCAGAAGTATAGAGATGTATGTTAAAGGCCAAAACTTGACGCCACTTGGACACAGTGGAGGGAGCCTAAATGGAGCAGGAGGCAATGTCCCAATAGGGGGTGGGGGACCACAGGAGAGAACAAAAGTTCGGAGCATGTTCTGTGGGGATACATATGCACCAGGCGCATCTAGGAACTAGACCGGTTTGGGCGCACACACAAGGAACCCCGAACATCAACGGCAGCTGAGACCCCCAATGTGTCATTGCACCAAGTCAGTCAAGCAAAACAAATGGCAAACGCACTCATCAACTTATAACCAGCTTTAAAGCAAGGTGCACATGGAAGGGCTTGTGTGTCCCTGTGCCTTTGAAGGGGGTTGGGCTGCTTCCTGGCAAACCTGCACCCAATTTTATCTTTTGCTACATGTGCTCCAAGATGGAGACTCTCATAGGTTAGGTCTCGTTCACACCTAGGCGTATTGCATATGCGCGTCTGTCGCGAATCGCGGTAAAAAAGTCGCGCGACCGTTGCGCGTTTTCCAAAGGCTACTTGGCTGTATCCCAATGGAAACGCGCAACAAAGTAGTACCTGTACCTTTTCAGGCGTGGGCCGTTTTGTAGCGCGTTAGGGACGGGCGGAAATACGCCAAGGTGGGAACGAGACCATTGAATACAATGGGATTGATATTTTTGAGCGTTTTGTAGAGCGTTCGTCGAGTGTAGAACGCGCTACAAAACGTTCAGTTGTGAACGTGGGCTTAGAGTTAGGACCGCACTACATAGAGGTGCATTGGCGGTGCGGTGCGGCTTTCACATATTCTGCAGAAGACGTGTATCTAAACCTGTTTTTAACCTTAGCGGTGAGAGTTTTTTGTGCATGCTGGCTGGTGAGTGTGCTGGGAAACTTTTTGCTGTTGTACTGTATAAAGCCCTTCCATGTGCACCTTGCTTTAAAGCTGGTGCGGGAGTAGCCCCACTGCAAGGGTTAATTTGTCATTTGCCCAGAGTTGTTCTTTAGGGTTTGCTAGACTTGTCCAGGCTTTTTGGTAAAATACTCAATAAAAACAGGATTAGTGCTTCTTCTTTTCTAAAAACATTTTATTGCTCATTAATGGACATCTTACTTATTACACTACATGAGAATATCAACCAAGATACAAATAAGTCTGTAGTTACTGTAATAGAATTGTTATTCAGTGTAAATATCACATAAATGTAATCAGTCTCTAGAAAAGCATGCTATTGTTTCCAGAAGCTAGTAGCATTTACTCTCCTTCATCTTATTTTGTTTCAGCCATGGCACAGAAATGACTTCAAAATGGCAGAATGTAGTCTACAAGAAAAAAAAAAGCAGAATCAGCATAAAATGTCTGCATGCCATAAAAGAGAAACACACATACACATCAGTGAATACGTTAATGGATCAGTCCACCCAAATCTAATATTACAGTTTTTGGTAGATGCTAAAGACTTGAACAACCTGATGATTTCCTACATTTATTTATTATTGATATTTATATAGGGTGGATCATTTTTACGCTGCGCTTTACATTCACAAAAGTCCCTGCCCTTGAGGAGCTTACAATCTAAGGTCCCTATCTCACATGCATACAGGGCCAATTTAGACCGGAGCCAATTAACCTTCTAGCATGTCTTTAGAATGTGGGAGGAAACCAGAGTACCCGGAGGAAACCCACACAAGCACAGGGAGAACATGCAAACTCCTTGTAGATTGTATCCTGACCGGGATTTGAACCAGGGACCCCCAGTACTATATCCCTCAGGGACATTATTGGTAAGATATCTGTACTTGTGTGACAAAAATGTGTACAGAGTGCCAGTACAGCGGTGGCCACCCGAGCTGTCAGCTGGGCTGGAGGCAGCGGCTGGCCAAGATGTCAGACGGGCGGTGGCAGTGGCGGGCCGACCTGTTAGCAGGAGGTAGCAGGCAGTCAAGCTCTTAGCCGGGCGGGAGGCAGCAGGCAGCCGAGCTGTTAGCTGGGTGGGAAGTGGAGGTTGGCCGAGCTGTGTGCGAAGGAGGGTAAGGGGTGCTGTTAGTCATTTGTGCAGCCGCCCCTTCCCACATCTGCCAACCCTAATGAGATGCCCCCCCAGATAATTGGGGGACCCAAAAACCACAGCGCGGGGAGGGGGGAGCAGCACGATCCTGGCTAGTAAAAGTGATCTAGGTGGCTGTTGAGGAGCTTCTCCTGTCTGCCTCACCTCATTGATTGCTAGGAAGCCAATAGTCCTAGCAGCCAATGACTGAAGCAGAGGGGGAGCCTGGGCTGAGTTATGGCTGGATGTGGATGTACCCGGAGGTGTCAGCCAGGCATAAACCAGCGCAGGTAGACGACCACAGTGCAGACAGGTCTGCCATTTAGTGACCACTGGTGTAAAGTATCCATCGGACTCACTTCTTTTTACTTCAGTGTTCGTTCATCTTATAGGGGAAACTCCCATCTTTAGATTTAACTTCACTCTCACCACACATACACCGTCATATCTGTTTCCAGCATTTCATCACACCATGAGATAGTTAATCTACCTAACTTAATTTCATATGCCTTCTGAGCTTGTGTACCTGGATCTGCACACCTGCTGTGGCCATTATGAGGGGTTCCCACGCTCGCCATTGGCTTTTTGTTTATTTTATATTATCAAGAAAGCAACAACGAATGTTGGAACATTCAATCCTGGGTTGGAGTTCCCAAAACTAGCAGTTGGACAGAAAAGGAACATTATGGTTGGGAGTTCTTGCTGATGAAATAGCCAAAGCCCATGT